GGTTGGTGCCCACTTCATTTTGACCCTGTCAACCCCTGAAAACTCACATGGAACCCAAGAGTCGGGGTTTGGCAAATGATCAACCTTAGGGGGGTCTTATTGGGACCCCATGTTCGATCCGTACAGGTTTCCATCACATCAAAATCCACATACCCACCTGAAATTTGGGTCAAATCTTCAACAGAATGGTCACTTCTTGTCTTTTTGGTGGACCTGCAAATCTATAGAGGTTCTTTACTTTCAAGAACATACCATAAAATGCTGTGGCATCCCCGTCCCAGTGTCAGATATCACTTGGATGTGCGTCTCAGTAAGTTGTTTCTCAGTTGTAACCCGTATATAAGCCGCTTATAACTGGGCATATTCCATATGTATGTGGAGTATATATATATACACTGTAATATACTCTATATATATATACACACTGTAATATACTCTATATATAATATACGATATATATAATATATAATATTGTGTATATATATATGTATAGTATACAATATCCGCCGACCCCAGCCAACTGCAGGGGGAGCGCGTCCGAGAAAAAGTGTCGTTAAGGCCTAGTGGCTTCAGAAAGCGATGTTAGGCAGTAGCCTGGCTTGAAACCCTTCCCAACGCCCTTCCTGGCGCCCTTGCCAGCATTTTGGTAGATAGCAGCCCGCCCAGCGCCATACTTTTGCCATCTGCTGTGCGCTTTCAAGCGCTTTCAAAGAGGTTTTCTAGTGGCTTCAGAAAGCAACGTTATTACGCAGTAGCCTGGCTTTAAACCCTTCCCGGCGCGCTTGCCAGCATTTTCCTTTTGGTAGGTAGTTGGCCATCTGCCGGGCGCTTGCAAAGGTGTTTTCTAGTGGCTTCAGAAAGCGAAGTTAGGCAGTATCAGGCGCTTTCAAAGAGGTTTTCTAGTGGCTTCAGAGATATATATATATTATCCGCCGACCCCAGACGATGGCAGGGGGAGCGCGTCCAAGGAGCACCCAGGCGTTGGCAGGGCATGCGCTGGCTTCTGGTGTCGCGGCGCCCTTGCCACAGGCTGTTGCTGCATTCTGGGGGCAGTAGCCTAGCTTCAACTGCCTCGCGGCGCCTTCGCCGGAGGTTTTTGCGGCATTCTGGGCGCTTTCCAAGAGCTTTTCTAGTGCCTTCAGAAAGCAACGTCAAGCAGTAGCCTGGCTTCAAATGCCTCGCAGCGCCCTTGCCAAAGGCTTGTGCGGCATTCTGGGGGCAGTAGCCTGGCTTTAACTCCCTCGTGGCGCCTTCGCCGGAGGCTTTTGCGGCATTCTGGGCGCTTTCCAAGAGCTTTTCTAGTGCCTTCAGAAAGCAACGTCAAGCAGTAGCCTGGCTTCAAATGCCTCGCAGCGCCCTTGCCAAAGGCTTGTGCGGCCTTCTGGGGGCAGTAGCCTGGCTTTAACTCCCTCGTGGCGCCTTCGCCGGAGGTTTTTGCGGCATTCTGGGCGCTTTCCAAGAGCTTTTCTAGTGCCTTCAGAAAGCAACGTTAGGCAGTAGCCTGGCTTCAAATGCCTCGCAGCGCCCTTGCCAAAGGCTTGTGCGGCATTCTGGGGGCAGTAGCCTGGCTTTAACTCCCTCGTGGCGCCTTCGCTGGAGGCTTTTGCGGCATTCTGGGCGCTTTCCAAGAGCTTTTCTAGTGCCTTCAGAAAGCAACGTTAGGCAGTAGCCTGGCTTCAAATGCCTCGCAGCGCCCTTGCCAAAGGCTTGTGCGGCATTCTGGGGGCAGTAGCCTGGCTTTAACTCCCTCGTGGCGCCTTCGCCGGAGGTTTTTGCGGCATTCTGGGCGCTTTCCAAGAGCTTTTCTAGTGCCTTCAGAAAGCAACGTTAGGCAGTAGCCTGGCTTCAAATGCCTCGCAGCGCCCTTGCCAAAGGCTTGTGCGGCATTCTGGGGGCAGTAGCCTGGCTTTAACTGCCTCCCGGCGCCTTCGCCGGAGGCTTTTGCGGCATTCTGGGCGCTTTCCAAGAGCTTTTCTAGTGCCTTCAGAAAGCAACGTCAAGCAGTAGCCTGGCTTCAAATGCCTCGCAGCGCCCTTGCCAAAGGCTTGTGCGGCATTCTGGGGGCAGTAGCCTGGCTTTAACTCCCTCGTGGCGCCTTCGCCGCCGGAGGCTTTTGCGGCATTCTGGGCGCTTTCCAAGAGCTTTTCTAGTGCCTTCAGAAAGCAACGTTAGGCAGTAGCCTGGCTTCAAATGCCTCGCAGCGCCCTTGCCAAAGGCTTGTGCGGCATTGTGGGGGCAGTAGCCTGGCTTTAACTCCCTCGTGGCGCCTTCGCCGGAGGCTTTTGCGGCATTCTGGGCGCTTTCCAAGAGCTTTTCTAGTGCCTTCAGAAAGCAACGTTAGGCAGTAGCCTGGCTTCAAATGCCTCGCAGCGCCCTTGCCAAAGGCTTGTGCGGCATTCTGGCAGCAGTAGCCTGGCTTTAACTCCCTCGTGGCGCCTTCGCCGGAGGCTTTTGCGGCATTCTGGACGCTTTCCAAGAGCTTTTCTAGTGCCTTCAGAAAGCAACGTTAGGCAGTAGCCTGGCTTCAAATGCCTCGCAGCGCCCTTGCCAAAGGCTTGTGCGGCATTCTGGGGGCAGTAGCCTGGCTTTAACTCCCTCGTGGCGCCTTCGCCGGAGGCTTTTGCGGCATTCTGGGCGCTTTCCAAGGGCTTTTCTAGTGCCTTCAGAAAGCAACGTTAGGCAGTAGCCTGGCTTCAAATGCCTCGCAGCGCCCTTGCCAAAGGCTTGTGCGGCATTCTGGGGGCAGTAGCGCGTTTGCCAGAGGCTTTAACTTCCTCGTAGCGCGTTTGCCAGAGGCTTTTGCGGCATTCTGGAGGCAGTAGCCTGGCTTCAAATGCTTCGCGGCGCCCTTACCGAAGCCTTTTGCGGCATTTTGGCCGCTCTCCTCGACCTTTTCTCGTGGCTTGGTTTTCTAGTTGCTTCCGAAAGCTACGTCCTGCTGTTCGGCCGTCGCGGTTGTAACACCGACCGTTTTCACCGTTCTATGCTGGTTTCTTTTCTTCGCTGTTCCAGCTGCTCCGTGGGCACTGGCGCCCCGACGGTGTCTTGTGCCGGACGCGAATTCGCCCCGAGGCGCATGCTGCCCACACCACAGTTTGGCACTGCGGGCATTTGTGCGCATGTTGTCGCGTCCCCTCGCTGACCTTGCCGCTCTTGGCGTAAAACCGGTTGCCACACACGCTCCGATGGTTGATCTGCCCAGTCATAACGCTGCTTGCTACAATGCCGTTGCAAAACGGGCACCATCTAGTTGGTTCATATGTTCAGTTCATTGTTTTTCCATTCTTTGTCTGTATGTAATGTGGTTCGGCTATGCGGCAAATTGAAGCTTTTGCTGCGGTTCAATGCACTTCGTCAACGGAATCCTATCCAACTACAAATCATACATAAATCAAACATTGCCTTCGAAGCCACCACAAAACCACGCAACCACACAACAACTCAGCAACACAACCACTGCAACAAAATATCTGTTCTCAGTTCTCATGATAAAAATACTACAAATGTTTGCTCGACACATGCGTCAAAGAGTGAATCTGGGGTCGGCGGCAGGGGGCGTGAGCCCTTTAATATTATATACTATATATATATAATTACATTATATATATGTAATTTACATTTTTTAGTTATCTGAGATTACCCACTTACTGGGATGCATCCCCAAGCAGGCCCCTGCTTCAGCTGCTTCAGCCAGGTATCTGTCAACCTGCAACATGGTCTGCTGGGATCCGAAGCTATTCGACGCCTGGAGCAGTTGTTTTCAGGACCCCCAGCAGGGGCCCTGAGGACCTTTCGGATGGGGGTAACATCTGGTTAATGGTGTTTAATGGTGTTTAATGGTGTTTAGTGGTGTTTAATGGGATTTAATGGGAATCTCGGTTCATCACTATTAAAACGCTATGGACAATTCTCCAGAATTCACCAATCGACTAGGCTGCTTACAGTAGTGTTTATGCATATATACTTAATGGGGTTTTTAAACCAATTTATAGCCGGGCAGAACCTTGCATTTTTTTGTGATGTTCCAGCTTTGGCTGGCTCATCTACAATCAACAAGGGTATAACCAAACAGCTGTCACTGTACCCATCTTATCAATGATACCCAGAGAACACTCAACCTTGATTCATGCCTGTGATATCCCAACAAACTCTTCAACGTTGCTTATATCTTCAGGGATGTGGTAAACCCAAAAAATAGACCATACCTACCCTTCCCTCTGTTGATATGGACGTGGAGGCCAAAAAAACGTACCACTAACATGGACGTGCATCTGGTAAAAACCATCAAAATTTAGGCAAAACTGGCAGCCTCGGGGAAGTTGCATGACTGACCCATGGACAAGTCTACTATCATGACAAGCACAAGGGGCGACAGCAGGAAGACCGTTTGACATGGGGATCCGCCAAAAGTTCAAAATCGATGAAGCTCCACTAACATGGACGCCGTAAGAAGCCAAACATCTTACTATGAATGTCCATGTTAGCTGAATACTGTTCAAAAAAACCTGTTTGAGTGTCCATGTTAGTGGACCTGTGACATGTGTCACACTAACATGGACGCTTCCAAAACTGGCAAAAGTAAGAAAAACAACTAACATAGCACGTGCGTACATTTTCTCAATTTTCAGCGTCCAAGTCAGGAAACTGGAGAGTACCTACTTTGGAGGCTTCAGAAACTTAAACATCAGGGTGCATCATCTTGTCTCACACCCTGAAAAATACTGGTCACATGTATATTCTGAATCAATTATGATAACTCAATATAAAAACTGAAAAGCTCGGCCATTTTGGGATAGTTACCCCAATCCAATTCCTATCACTCCAGTGACGACGCAACATGAGGTTGATATTTCTGAAATATTTCTGATATATTTTATCGAGGTCATTTTCACCCAAAATCCCCTGTTCTTGGCTTCTATCCCCATAAAATCATATAAAATCCTCATCTGGGCCAAAATTTTCGTGGTGGAATAGGACCTTTTTATGACCTAATGAAGGCGTCAAATTCTGCTCCTGGCCTCCAAATGTGTCGCGAGCGGCTTGGGTGTAATCTCCGGCAACGAAGGGACTTGACTCACCTGAACCGGTTTTTGCCAGATGGAAATGGGCCAAATGGAAACCCCATATTTTTAGCTCCAAAAAAAAAACAGTTTTTTTTTGCCATGTTGTTTTTTGGATTTTGCCAAATTTCTATAATCTTTTTGGTGGTGGTGAGAAAATGTTACAAATGAAAAATGACCATGGGGAGGTCTGAAATCAGATCGCTTTTCCGCGGGCATATAGGGGGGAACTTCCGCTTTCAAATTTGTTGCAAACGGAACAACCAATGGGGCATGGAGCAAATGGATGGCCAAAATCAGGTCGAAGTCTTCCATGGGTCAAGTCATTGTCATTGGGGCATGGTCAATGCATTTTTTAATACTAAACAGTGACCAATCCATCGCCCCAGGATCTTGAATTTTAACCAACGCCTATATGTTTTGTCATGTTTTTTCAAGTATGTCATAAAAAAAATCGACAAGTCCATCCATGGATCCCTAGTCTTTTTCTTGGGCCCCAAATCGCAAGATGAGTGCATGTAAGGATGACCCTCTTTGGCTAGTCTTCGTAAAAGGATGTAAAAAGGGGTGCAAGCTTCCCAAGTATCCCCAGTCATACAGTCATACTGGCCTACCCTGCAGTAGACACATAGGTATGGACAATCCGTGGTTTTCGCACGTAGAAAATGATCTACACACTGTATCTTTTCATGTCTTTTCCATATCTGTGTTAAACTATGCGAGTTTCATGGAGACACCAACAAGTTTTAATGATTTCCGTCCGTTCCTTGGGATGACCATGTAGATTAGGGAAACGAAGCGTCGACACCCCAACTTTAGCTTCGAGATTTTTTGAATGTGGTCAACTTGCTATCCATGGACAGCACCCAAGTTCCATCCATCCATTCATCCATCCATCCAATGTGTTGTATAGATCTCCCATCCAATCGGCGTCTTCGGCATGATTAACTGGACGGACTGGCGCTTGTTGATCAGAAAAATCCCATCCCCTGATCCAAACTACCGGTGCGATCCAGCTGATCGATAACTTATACTCCAATTCCCCTATGCTATATATATATATATATTATATATATATATTGAAATATAAATCACCTATTTAGTTCGATGATTTTCCCAGCCATTTCTACCTCCATAAACAGATCATTTGCTTTGGGGATTTCCCTATCGGGTATCCCCAATGTTTGGGACCCCAAGTCATGATGATCATCCCTGGGTGGTTCAGCCCCTTGAAAAACATTAGTAATCGGGATCTGTAATTATCCCAGGTAAGCTGGAATAACATGTGAAAAAACGCCCAGATGTAGTTGGGATAGAAATTTATGATGAAAAGACCGCCAAGAAACTCACTGCGCAAAAAAAACCCTGTACCTCATGTTAGCTGAAGTGAACAGGTTTTTTGTCAATCCCAAACTAACCAGTCTTGGGATTTGACATTGCGATATTCTTCCAAAATCCACCTTCTTGATGCGTGAAATCTTGACCCTGCCCACGTGTTCGGACTCCGTCCCAACTTTCACGCGCCAAAGCACTCCCCCTGGTGATATGGACCCAGAGGCCCCTTCCGAACCGGACCCAGAAGTCCTACCTGGCCATGGACCGAGCCGGAACATAACCCTGGGGCGATCCTGAACACTGGAAGTGGTTGTTATATGTTGTTATGAGGGCCACCTAGACGTCTTAGATAGGTAAGTTGGAGTAACTAGGTTTACTAGACTTATGGCTACAATTACTGTAGATGGGTTGAAAAAACAACTTTTAATTGGGGGTGCACAGATTGTTCTGTCCTCACATTGTAGCATTGTTTACCTGTTCCCACTATATAGTCATGAACCCCCAGCCATGGAATTCCGAAACCTCAAAATGAACAAAACAAGGTGGCTCTTGGGTCCGTATGCATCTCTCATCTTTAAACAGTTTTTAAACGACGGCCAGTTAATCAAACCATACTAAACTAGCCATGGCTAAGCCATATCTGTTACGTAGTAATTGGTTGGGACATCACGGTGAAACTGCGGGATGATGTCGAACGACCCCCACATGGCTGCTTACTGGGATGGTTGATGACATCGGGTTTACCACATCAACTATGGGTTTGTTTGAACATCAACTTGTATCATCTAATCATTATATCCCCAATAATTATATCACCCTTGTGGTTGGTCAAATTTAAATACCTATTTTGGGTTGATTACAAAAAATAACCCAAATCACTTTGGGGTTTACCATGAAAAGTCACCCACTCAACCAGCCCAGCTGCTACGCGTGGGGAGTGCTCCCTCCGCGATTTGCACCAAATTCTCGTAGCCATCCTGGCGGCGGTTCAGCACAATGGGATCAAACGTAAGGAAAAGGGAGCACTGTATACATACATGGATACAGTAGATAAAAAGTAAAGTAAATAGTATATATAAAAAGTAAAAAAATACACTATATACAATATATATATATATAAATAAATTATGTAAATATATAACATATATATATAGCATTAATATATATATATATATGACATATATATAACATGTAATGTAAAAAAATAAACTATAATATAATATATAAATATTATATGTATATATGATATAATATAAATAAACTATATTTATAATTAACATATATATAATATAATACATATAATAAACCATAAATAATATATATAATATTATAAAAATCCGATATAAAACATTAAACATTGAATGTGATCTACACTATACTGCATATACATTATATACAATTTATTAAATCTATGGTATATATATACATTCAATACATCAATGTTTGAAAATGTTGACATATATCATGTTCTATGAATATACTATAATATATATATATAACATTTTTATGTATATATTTATACACTATATCAAATATTCTATTCTATATATATATTAAAAATATTCTATATTTTACATATGTTGTCTATTTTGTACACTTTGTTTATTGTATATATCATATATACCACACATTTATATACATTATATCTGTTTTATTTGAAACATGATGTAACTGTGAAATAAATATAACATATATATATAACATATGTAAATATAAAAATAATAATATATTATATATACACAATATTATACAATATGCAGAAGCCAGGTGCAAGATAACTTAATCTGTAGAAAAACTCTATACATAAAAACTCTCTCTCTATACTTTCCTTGCGCATCTCTACACATACAGTAATTACACATTTGTAGGTCTCCTAGGTGTTGGATGGTTGTTGATCCCAACATGTGAATGCTGCTCACTGACAGCACAAACGTCTCAAACAGGCAATATTTGCCGTCCCCAGTTCCAATTAGTTGGAACGTGGCAAAGGAAAAAAAAAACTTCAACAGAAAACACAGCTTCATAACTTAGTACAAGTATATACAAGTAGCATAATGTAGCAGATCAAACATTCATGGCCAACATCATGACCTTCTTGCTCTCTATCCAAAAAAAGTCGCTTTTGCAGGTCTGAACTGAAGTCCAAAAACCTCGTGATTGCTGGAGACTCCTAGGCCAGGTTTGCCTACCGGATCCTACTGTACATCCCATATCTTTGGGCGAAATTCAACTTTTGCCTGTTCAACTCCTTATTCTTGTTGTGAAATCCTTGCTTTGTGATGACATCCGATGTTTTTTTTGACCCCTAAGATCCAATCTTACGTTCTGAAAAACGTGGTGAACATCCCATTTTTTTGCAGCGACAGTTGCAGTTTTGCTGCTCAAACCGATGCTGTCCTTGTCCCAACTCGCGACCTCCGCCTGGGCCTGCTGATTTTCAGGGATGGCCTCGGGATTCAGACTGCTACCCTCTGGTAAATCATCTCCATGGCTTGCTGGAGAAATCCATCGTTTAAAAGAGGCTTGAATGGCAAAGTCATAGGAAAAGCATAGGAACATATGGGAACACACCATTAATTTGATGATTTTCCCTGATGATTTTCCCACTTAACGGGACTTCCCAGACATGTTTCAGTGGAAGGTATCTTTCAGCCGATTGGCCACTGCCAAACCTGCCAGCCTTGATTTAGGCGGCTAAAATATGTCAACACCCAAATTATTTGGTTGGCTTTACTATCCCGAAATCAACAGTTCCAGTGTTTCCCAGCTCTGCTTAGATTTGCTTGTATACCCCATTAAATATACTGTATATATATATATATGCTCCATTGTATTCCCGTACATAACCAGTTACAGTAATTAAGTTCGCCTTTTACCCAGCAAATTCCATCAAATTCAATTTTCTTTAAGGCAAAATCAACATTTCTACTTTGCCAAACCCATATGCTACATGTTTGTTGATTGTTACTTTGTGGGTGATAATTATATACGAAGTACATCCCATACACAGGCTAGACAAATAGTAGCCCTAACGTACCCAAATCTTCACATTGTTGATCAGGCATCCCATGAAAATCACCAATAAATCCCATGGAATCCCTATGACATCCGAAAAAACAGCAACATGGGTTGAAACACCACTATATGGTCATTACACAACACACGCACGCACATGCACACACGCGCACACAGTATCATGGCCATGTGCGGCTGCCGGCTTGCATTGGCGGAAGCACATGTACCAGCGTGTGTGTCCTTGCTGCCCATATTGAGCAGCTCCTGTTTCAATTCAAAAATTAGAAGCCCAGTTTTCAATTCGTGGCCCCCCTTTGGGCCCATGCTCTGGGCGCCCGCCTTTCCGTAAAGCGCGGGTTGAACTGCGACAATTGACGTCGTTCATCAATGGCTTTTGCGTTTGGTTGCCAAGATGCTGGTTTCACAGTATATATATACACACATACAAAGCAATTGTTTTTGGATGTTTTGGTGGGAACAACATCATACATCTTCCAAACATTGTCCCACAAATTGTTCCAGATTTAATTATTCCGGATTGTCCTAACATCCCCAAAATGATCCTATCAAATTACCCCAAATCTGAAGGATTTCATCTTTGATCCTGGATCCATTCGACAACCCTCAAAATTCTCGTATTGAATCCCCAAAATCTTCGGAAATCGTTCCTTGAATTCTCAAGAATGAAACTTCTCCCATTCAATCCCCCCATTTCAAACCGATTTTCACCGTGTTCATCGATGTTTGGCCCTCTCAAATCTCCGTATAGATCCCCCATAACCATTATTCCAGTGAGGTCGCGCTGTGAGGTCGTGATCATATCTAATTGTCCAAGTATGATCACCCTTAAATTCCCATTGTTGATTGTAAAATCCCATCAAAAATAGCATCCCATTGATCCCATGTATACTGTACACGTAATGAACAAATCCCATTCTTTAATACATCATTGGTTGATTCATTGTATACCAACATATTAAAAACATGTCATGGTATTTCTTAGAAAAGATTTCTATGATCCCCATAACATATCCATAACTTGGATGGTCATGAAACCATCATTTACCATGAACAAAACCATCGCGAAATCACCATCTAAATGTTTCCAACTATGAACCATCACGAAACCATCATGAAACCTAAAAAACAAATCATGGTTAACCATGGTTAATCATCATTAACCAACTAATTATGGTCATTTTCATGAAGGGTTTACCATCATTGGCCATTCACCATCATTATTAGCCTCCAGTAAATTAACATAGACCCTGGCCAATATGGGTGGGAAGATTAGTTTCCACTAGTTTAGTGTCCTGTTTTCAGGGTCGAACTGTTAACTTACCAAAGGTTAATACCATCATTAGCCAACTAATTCTGGCCATTTAGGATTATTTAGAATCGTTTTCATCAAGCATCATTGGCCACTAACATTCATCACATCCATCAACATCCATTAACATCCATCAACACCCATGAACATCCATCAACATCCATCAACATCCATCAACATCATTGATTTTTCACCCAGGCCATTTCCGCGCCTCAAGTAACTGATCTCGGAAGATCCTCCAATGGTCATCCAGCAGCTCCGCAAAGGCCGCGCGCGATGCCAGCGATGGCGTGGCGGCCATGGCGGCCGCCGAAAAAGGCCGGGCGGTGGCGATTTCTTCGTTTTTTTTGGGGAACATCTGGAACATGTATGGATAGCTATGGGAATATCTATGGGAATATCTATGGGAATAGCTATGGGAATATCTATGGGAATATCTATGGGAATATGTGGGAAATGATGGAATATGGAATCTGGTTGGTGGTTTCAACCCCTCAGTTGGGATGATGACATTCCCAATATATGGAAAAAGATCCAACATGTTCCAAACCACCAACCATTTGATTTTTTTGGGGGGAAGAAAATGGTGAGGAAAAGATGGAACACCTAAAAAAATATCTAAACAAATCTGCACAATTCTGGAAAGACCTGGGTGAAACACTGTGAAAGAAGTGGAAACAAACTGGGTGAAAATCTGAAATTTTCTTTGGAAAATCGTTCTGAAATAAACAAGCAACTCTGAGACTCTGGTCGAAAAAAGGGGATGAACAAAGCGAAGGCTTGGGAGTTTCAAAGAACATGTTGCCACATGTTTGCTGTTGATCTGTCCTTTTTGCCATTTTTTTGGGTGCACTTTTTTGCAACGCTTTTGGGGTTACTCTGCACATCTTGGGTTAGATTCTTGGTGATTCTCATGGAGTTTGATGAAACATCAGCGATGTTTTAGCTGTTCAGCGGCTGTGGGGCGAAAAAAAAAGGTACCTTCTCCTATCGGCTATCGAAAAATAGCTTGAGATAATCTGATATACAGGAACAAGACATCCAAGGTCTCTTTATTGGTTCCGTTTGGTGCTGTCAACCCTCTAAATTTCTGTGACTTGTGATGCTATCCCTCCCCCATTGGGTAGGGTTTACTATTGGTGTTTACCTCATGAAACATGGAGGATATGTAAATAAAACAAAAGGCGCACCCAACCCAATCAAATAAATAGTATTGTAATCCCGGTATGGCTCAAAATCATTGACCCCAAAGATTGAATGGTTCCACTAGAAGCTGCCAAATTGGTGGGCTTGGTTGTATCCCAGCCATTGCAATACCGGGCCCCACGAGTTATAAGTTGGTTTATAACACCATAGAACTAGCAACTATTAGTACCTAGAACTAGCAACTATTGTAGTTCGATCTATCCACCGTACATCCAATCGTTCGAGTTTTTGCATCGTTGGCCTAGCCAATTCAACCAACTTATCTGAGCAATCTTCAAAATCCAGTGTTCGAAATCCTCTATCGTCCCTTTATAATGCATGGTCAAAAAACGGGATGTTCCAGTTCATGGATTATGATCATCCCCGATACAATGGCCGCCTGATTCAGCGTCTCGCAACAGTGGCCTCAGCTACCGAGCACTTCATGGGGCATGTCCCATTCCTTTGTTTGATTACCGTGGGGTAACCTAAACAGCATTGGGAAAAAATGTGGAGATTATAGACTTGTGACATATCATCAATCATCGGTGTTTTTTTGCAGCAAAACAAGATACAATCTTTGTGAATTTAAATGATGATAGATGATGATAGATGTGGTCTAATTAAAACAGGGGATGTCAACATCCAAAAACCGCTGGCTGCAAATTTCATGGACTCATATTGGGTGGTCAACCCTACCATTTTCCACAAGTGAAATGTACGTTCCATTTGAAGATCTAGCCTAAGGGTGTAAAAAATGATGTCACATGTGTTCCATGTATTTTTCTTGTGTGTGTGTGGGTTCAAAAGATCCATTCATATAGATTCATATAGTCAATACAGATACATCGTATTATGCACACATGCTTTTGAAAGGTAAATAAGGTGTGTTGCGAATTGCCAGAACTCCCTCTTTGGGAATCCTCAAAATTGGATATATCGACAGAAGCTAACATCTCAGGCATTAACTAAAGTTTCCTAAAGTTTATTCCTAAAGTACCCCCTGGGAAGCCAACACAGTTTGGGTGAAACACTGACATCTAGACAATAAATTCCATTAGGGATGTTCCGTGGGCATTATGAATCACAACTCTCCGCTGCTCTCCACTTTTCTTCGCTATGTTTCAAGGTCGCCATGAAATTTTAGGGAACCGTTGGCAGAATCGTGGCTCAAGTTAAGTATCAGGTCAATCGAGCTGTGGTTTTCTACAGAGTCTACAGCTAGGGCCACTGCATGTTTCATACTTTGAAGCAGGAAAGATCCCGCCCGTCTCTGTTTCGGTCTACGTAGCGCCAGAAAAGCTGGATGCCAAACAAGTCACCAAGTCATTGTTAAAGGCAACTCCAAGTCCTTTATCCTGATCTTCCGGCATTTCTTCGGGGTCAAAGTCTCAGACTTGACCATACCACCTCTTGAAAAAACGGAATGACTTGACCAATGCCCATTTCATTATCATCGCATTCTATGAGTCATATGGCAAACTACGATTACTATATCAATGACCCAAAATTTTGCCTCATTCCATGAGTCGTGGGATGGTTCACCAAGCCTGACCCAAAATTCGCCCCTCAACATCCCACGTGGTTCCACCAGCGTGGGACGTTGGACACATTAGCAAGGCCCTTTTGAAGGGAACCAAACTGTTCATCGAGCGGTGGACGAGCAGTCCCCAGCAACAAACGCAGAAGAAGAGACCTGTACCTACAGTCCATTTGAATGCAGCATGTACCCTCTGGTAAACTAACAGAGCCATTGAAAATGGCCATTTATAGTGAGTTTTCCCATTGAAAATGGTGATTTTCCATAGTTATGTTAGTTTACCAGAGGGTAATGTCTGGGAAAGGATGCTATTTAGAACTTTTCTATACTGAACTTCTTGATGCTGAAGTGCTCCTTATCAGTACCGTTACAATGACCATGGTTTCACCAAGCCCCTTCTGGGACGCTTCCTTACCAACAAACCAGGATCATCATCTACACAGGCAGAACATGTTCAAATTCACCCATCAGTCCATACATAGGCTGAATGTCAACCCATCTTTTACATTCTCTTACCACGTCCCCATCTCTTCTAAACTGTTTCCATTTCTGGCGAATGCTTTCCGGCAGAGATTTTCGCCCCCTGAAATCGAGTTTTAGATACCCACAAATCTTTGCTGCTTAGGGTTAGTGTTGTAAATCCAATAACAAACAATCGGATCCCTAATATCACCAGAAGTGGGTGGTAGAAGCTCTCCAGTTATGGAGGCTTATTATTGGGTTTGCCACATCGGTCTGTGTTCCTGGTTATGGCAAAAATATGGCATACCGCACTCACTTATAGGAACCTGACGGGACTTGTTGTCCAACACCAATTCGCCCCGTGATGGCAATTTTTCATGTGGAGAATGATGATGAAAATCCAGTGGACTCTTTACAAGACCATGCCCAAACCTGGGCCCTTGTAGATTAAAGATGATATAAGTGGATCATATCCCAACGTATCGGGGGTTATTACCATAGTCTACCCATCATTAATAACCCCAACTGCACACCCAAGCAATGACATTTGACTCGGGACATCACCCGCTTTGTCAACCTTGGCCCATTGGCCAGTTGGCCGGGCCAGTAAAATGGCTGGATGTTCACAACGAGGATTGGCAAAGTGGCGGGCTATCACTGAGTCGATTCCACAGATTTGGTGGTTTCATGAATTGGGGCTACATTGCGGCTACATAACTGACATAGCTCACTTTGACCCATACTTCATGGGGCGCCAATCCCAAATGCTAGGCACTTTGCCAATCTCACGTTGAAAAAAAACACCGCAGTTGCGAAGCCAAAGTTCGACTGGAACTGGAACATCCCTGGAGCTTGGAGAGGCGAAGCATGCCCAAACTTAACTGTGAAAAGCGTGCTCAAACTTTGGTTACTTAATCGTTACTGGCGAATCTTGAAAGTCGATTGAGATTCGTGACCCAAAAAACCGCTTGAAATGTCGATGCAAAATGGAATGCTCCATGGTTATTATATAGTGACTAACAGATACTAACAGCTTGCCATGGACAATTAGCCATAAGAATAGATTATTTAATATGATTTACCAGTGCACACTGTTAGATTACATTAGATTACCAGAGGATCAACATGTTCTCTTTGACTCCAGAACTGTTCCAAGTTGCGCCCTTGGCCAGATACATTTTACAAGGTGCCAGGTGGGATCCGACGAAAGATCTATACATGTAAATGTACATAATATGATAAACTATACATGTAGATATAATGCTGTATATGTGTATTACCAAACGTATGATGTATGTTAATCATAGATTGATAACTGAAAAACCAGTTATATTTCGGATGAATTGTATAATCATTGAACAGTCTGAATAAGTTCATGTCAGTGTTGTCTGTGGTTGGCTTGTCACTGCGTTGATTCACGAGGACATCTCCCTGGAAATAGGTGATGTCATTATTTTCGGAGTTCAAAATATAGCCGAACTACATGCTGATGGCGATTGACCTTTCTCCAATGAATTATAAACTGTGATGAAACATTTGCATCCATTTACAGTACAGTATTTACACAAGGTGGGGACCCCAAACGATAGCTAGGTAGGTTTATGAGGTTTACTATGGTTTAGATTTGGCAGATGTACCCTCTGGGAATCAAACGTGGCAATGGAAAATCCATCATTTATACATTTATAGTTGATTTCTCATTAAAACCTCCATTTACAGAGGATTTCCGATTTCCACGTTTTACCGGAGGGTATCTATTGAATCTATAGTTAGATGGGTTTATAAATCAACTTACACCAGGTGTCTACCCATTTCTCAAAAAGCCCAGGTCTATCTCAAATTTGGTACCAAGAACCCCCAAATTTGGTCAAATTTTCCCTATTTCTCGTCGGCCATACCTGGGGTCTGTGGCCACCCCCCACACGTATGGCCAACACGCCGATACAAAGTCATGACGGTTTCATCACTGCTGACTCACTTCGGGACGTCCTGTGATTTCCCTATCGTTCATGGTGAGAACAAATATGGACAGAACATGGAATCAGGAAATAGAATGGGAGATGATACTTGGGTTTCTTCCACAAATGCCACTCTGGTTTTCCGAGTTTGTGAGTGCATATGAGATGATACAATGGCTAGGGGTCAAAATTGGCTACTCCAATCATCAGATGGTTAATACTAAAAATGGACTACAATCTGTGGTCCAGGTCTTTCATTTTTTGACCCAATCCCAAATGAGACCGGAACCCGATGTGGACGGAGCGGGGAAGCGTTGTGGTCCATCCCAGTAACATGCCCATTGCCATAAGGGATTCGCCCATTGCCATCTTTGATTACCTGGGGTTAAGTGATATTAAGTGGATGCCAAGCTATTTCACAAGTGGCTATGTCCAATAGAACTGGAGGGCTGCGAAGCACAAACGCTTGAGCCACGTATAGCCCGGTGGCTCATTGGACAGTGGGGCCATGGGGATTTCTGAAAATGAACCCACGGGAACCCACTGTTTTCCCTATCAAAGCCGATTGTTTTAATGATAGCTTTATCCTCAAAATCCCAGAAATAGCGCTGGATCTGGGAGAGTCGATGAAATATAAATCCAGGCGAACTACAAGATTCTGAGTGAGGCGATCTACTACTAATCTCACACCATGTGTTTCTCTTCAGTCTTCTCGAGGGCCTCTTTTTAGATTCCCAGAAAAAAAAGGAGGAGGTGCTCAAAAATGGTGGATGGGCCCCCAAGTCATGGCATGTTTATTGGAGAACCTGAGGTTTTGACATGGTTTAACAATGTTTAGCATAGCTATGGAACATCACCACGTCCAATCATCTAATCGTGATATAGGAACGGGCCATCTTCCATCGGCTATGCTCAATTGAGGGTAAACATGGTACCCTCTGGTAAACTAACATAGCTATTGAACATGGCCATCTATAGTGGATTTACCCATGAAAAATGGTGATTTTCCATAGCTATGTTAGTTTACCAGAGGGTAAACTCTAACAAAATTAACCAACATCTGGTGAGCCAAATGGCCCCCGCCATCCCACAGGAGGTCTCCTTTGACGTGGCTCGATCTTCTTCAGCACGGTGTTTCTAAACTCCGCTTGTTCCTCCTTGAGCTCCTCAGGGGCTGAGGATCAGCTGGTTACGTGACGTAGAAAATAGCCGCAGAACTAATATGAACATCTGAGCAAAAGTGGTGATAAATCATGATTTAGTATAGAAGTTGTTACAGCAATGGAATGTGGCAACACCAACAATGATATTGCATGAACTCGGATTTCTTAAAATCAACCAGTGAGATCTCAGTGCCGATCTATAGCTATACGATCATACGGATCATCCAACTGAAACGATGGTAAACCCCAATTTGAAACGATCCCTAAGAGCAGATCTACTACTAGATCTACCTTTGTTCGATACAATCGACGCATGGTTATATAATATATAATACAATACAATATAACACAATATAATACAATACAATATAATATAATATAATATTTCATAGTGCAATACAATACAATATAATGAATTATGGTAACCGACAGAATTATGGAAAAAAAAACGTTCAACTTAGACAGGCGGCGCCTGCGTCCGATTTTTCCATAATTGGATTTTTCCCCATAAGGGTTCAACATATCCCGGAAGTGATCCGAACCTTTTTTTTTCCATAATTCTTGGAGGTGGCCATTATTTCCATAATTGATTTTTCCTGTGAAATCAGGGGGCTAGGGCAGATTGACCGGTTTTTCCATAATTATTTTTTCCATAATTAATGTTTGGGGCTCCACCTGTTGGACATGTCATGGATCCACAATTCAAACCCGTTTTTTTTTGGGTTATGGAAATATGTATGCAAATGCAAGTATGTAGTATCAACCCAATTGGTGGCTTGGCAAAAGGAAACATCCCGCATATGTATGTACGTACAACAATGAGTTTTGGTGGTGCAGTTGTTATGTATATCAATGGCAGGCTTTAGGGGCATATACCAGATCTTTAGACACATATTTCTATAATTCAATATTCCCCCTTAAAATGCATTCAAATTGCGAACATCACATGATATTATGTATATCAATGGAAGACTTAGGGGCATATACCAGATCTTTAGACACATATTTTCTATAATTCAATATTCCCCCTTGAAATGCATTCAAATTGCGAATCGATGGACATACAGTCACCGACAGAATTATGGAAAAAAAACAATTATGGAAACAATAATTATGGGAAAAAAAGGTTCGTAACTTTTCTATCATAGACAGGCGGCGCCTGTAAATTGAAACGCTTCTTTTTCTCTCCATAATTCTGTCGGGTGCTGTATACTAAAATAACATAAAATAAAATAACATATTACTATAATATAATATAATATAATATAATATATAGTCATTACAAACTACAAACCTAAAAGGGTATATAACTGTATATATATATATACACACCCAAACATGCGTATCACTGTAGTTAGTGCGCCGCGTTGTCACTACGGTTTGTCACTGCCTATTGAACGAATGGATCCTAAAGACTTTCAACCCTAAACCGCTGAAGGGTCCACTAAAAATCTTGGCCCCTTGCAGTCCACTTAGGCGAAAAAGAATAGACCAATGGACCCGACAAAAACTTATTGAAGTTAGCTTAAAATACAGTTTAACTATGTTTAACTGTTGGACTCTATCATGTAGTTGGGAAACTCCTAGTAGCTCCTTGGCTCCCCATTGCATATGGCTATGAATGCATACCCACAGTTCCTTACTTTCCACCTAATCGTTGAACCTTGATATGGGTGTGTCTGAATATGAATACTGACCATTTTCTTGGATTAGCTTAAGGGGCTCCGAAACAAATAAAACATATTAACATATCCTTTTTTTGATTCCCCAAATGGTGGGTATTTCCCATCAAATCACAACAATCACCTTAAACTGGCAGCCAGGTTTTCAAACAAACCCGTGCTGTAATACATCTGGGATAACTCGCGGAATCCCAACCGTTGTTCCAGTTTTTGGTTCTTGACGTGAGGTCGTGATCAAATTGATCCATCTGATTGTCCACAATCAACCATCATTTACTATCCTTAAGCATCATTAACCATAATACTAGCTATATAAGTTTAGCTAAGTATATAACAGTCCTTAACCATTCTTAATCATCATTAACCATAACCCCACATTTTACCAACGTAAGGATGTTTTTTCGGCAAGATTCGAGGACCATGTTCTGAATGGCTTTGGTGGCCAAAAGGGTGGCCACTGCATCGCTCTTCTTCACTTCACCACGAATCTTCAAGAGGCCCTGCGGTCGTCAAATCTACATCTTGCCTGAAACCAGTTGAAGTAAAACCATATATCCACGCTGCAAGAATCGAAACTGTGTTTTTTTCACCAAAATCACCATATGGCCATAGGGTCAACATGGGTCAACACCTATATTATTAGTTATTACATATCAAGTTACCATATGACTGGGAGAATCAACATCCATAAACCATCTCTGACTTCGGCTACCAGGTATTAGCCTGAACCAGCTCCGTCACGTGCAGCGTGCCAGAGCCATCAGCATCGATGATCTGCCAACAGCAGGCAGTTTTCACCGGACAAACGTCGGGGTTTTCACCAACAACCGTTGACAAGTTGAGCTTTCAGGCGACTAAGATTGGGGTTTAAACAGCGTTTAATCATTTTTGATCGATAATGGATGAGCATGATGGGCTTAGCCAATCAAAAAATACTTTATACACTTCGAGTTATCCCCACAGTGGCATCTTTTCAGGCATTCATTCCGGCGTTCTACCTCGCATCTATTTTGACATGATATCTGGGATTCTACCTGGCATCTATTCTGACATGATATCTGGGATTCTATCTGGCATCTATTCTGACATGATATCTGGGATTCTATCTGGCATCTATTCTGATATCATATCTGGGATTCTATCTGGCATCTATTCTGACATGATATCTGGGATTCTATCTAGCATCTATTCTGACATGATATCTGGGATTCTATCTGGCATCTATTCTGACATGATATCTGGGATTCTATCTGGCATCTATTCTGACATGATATCTGGGATTCTATCTGGCATCTATTCTGACATGATATCTGGGATTCTATCTGGCATCTATTCTGACATTCTTTCTGGCATCTGTCCTATGTTCTGACATTCTTTCTGGCATTGTGTCTGGTATTCTCTTTGGCATCTGGTCCAGGCGTGGCCCACATCTGGAGGCGATGTGGTGCTGCATCCGGAGTTGCAGCTTTCTTAAAATCTAACGGGGAATGATGGTTTGACCGTTTGACCGATACACAGGGCAATTCAAGCAACAACAATTGGGTCTAACAGGCAGAGATGGGGTTTAACAATTGGGTTTTACAATCAAATATGTGTGTATCCTTTGGCAATGATGATGATGATGGTGATGATGATGATGAAACATGGCTGGCCCGGAAATTCCCACGTTGAAGAGGAAGATCATCTACAAACAGGTAGTTCTATAAAGGGATTTTCAGGCCAGATTCCACAAAATCTAGCAGTTGGAAGGCAGGAAACACGGAAAATCATGGATGGTGGATTGGATGTCGCCGAGAATTGCGACAGAGTAATGAACCGACAACATGGGCAGACACACACACACAGAATCAACAATGTGGATAGCCTCCGGTAAATTGACACAAGATATATGTGGAAAATGCACAACTTATGGATATTTACAGATCATTTCCAGGGCCTAGGGAAAGCATGAGTTTTCCACAAAGCCATATGATCATATGACCGAAGCCACGCACCAAAATTGGTGAGTACCCAGGCGACAAACAGGAACACACACTTCTTACATGATTATCAAGAAACACAACCACACACATGTTGACATAACTGGAAGATTGGAAGGGTCTTTATCAACATTCTGAATTCTTCTGAAGTCAAGGCCATAAAATTGGGATGTGAACATGAGACCCCAAGACGCTGGATGATGTTGAGATATGGACTTAGGAATGGGTTTCTTGAATCCAACAAACACTATATATATATATATGTGTACATATTGTATATATATATACATACATACATACACGTTGGTGCTTTTCAACCGGTCCGTCGTCTGGGAGAGTCGTTCCACATCAGGATGCTTTGCCATAAGGTGGTGCCTTGCAGTGATGTTTGTTGGTTTATACACCCATTAACTATCGAATGCTATAGATAATATACATATATATAATATAATATATATATAATATAAAATATATATATATATATATAATATAATATATATATACATATATAAATTATATATATATAAGATATCTACCATAAGTCCTAGTTATTGGACCTCACCCACCTCCCCAAACTAACTGAATAGAGGTTGGAGAACCATCTGAAACATCTTCAACGCTTGGTGTGATCAGAACCATATTGGGATGAACAAAGATACAGGGTAAAGACATGTGCTTCAGAACAAAAGCTCCACTACCATTTACTCATCGTATTCTATCATCTATCTACCTTCCACCCCTTCAACCCCTTCAACCCCTTGAACCCCTTCAACCTCTTCAACCACCCTCAATGTCGTAAGACTACGTTGGACGGTCCATCCGCAAACACGTGCGACATCGTGCGACCGCGGTGGTTCTGCATCCGTTTCACCCAGTGATAGCGGTGGACTCAATTTCCAGACCAAGTAGGATTCACCAGATTTCACATACATATTGGCAGCATTTCTATTCATTTCTCCACAGTCTTCAATTGAGACATGCCGAAGTCTAGATCAGTGAATCTGAGCAGTGTTCAAAATATATCAAAATATGTCATTTCAATTTTCATACTGGCTGGTGAAAAAATCTTGAAACCGGGATTCCCCGTTCTTGGATTATTACAATCCCCAATCAATCCAATCAATCCAATCAATCCAATCAATCAATCAATTTATAATATATACATATAAATCAATCCATTTATAATATCATATCAATCCAATCCATTTATAATATAATATATATATATACAAAGGATTTTTATGTTTTTTTTTATCCCAAAAAGATTTTGGCACCTCGAAGAGATTGGCACGGTCGTGGGGGAGGTCTAACTCATCCATCAGAAACCTCGGTGAATCTCTGGGAGAGAATGGACTTTCTGATGGGATGATGGACACCACGACCATCTGGTTATGACTAACAGACATAGCCATGGAAAATCCCTGGCCCATAAATGGAGGTTTATAGATGTTTATAGCTGGGAAAATAATCTATTTCGATTAGGGCCATGGCTTCCATGGGTATGTTAAATAACCAGAGGGTAGATAACTTAGATAGTTGATGGGACATCAACCGTGGCTGGAGAATCCCCACGAAAAAAAGAAGGTTTAGCTCGCTGGAAATCTTCGAACTCAATGGGGGAATTTTCCAAAAAACAATTACTCTACTTCGTGTGATCCCCACCATGACATGTCAGGACGTGTATTTGGACATATATTTAGTATATTCTGACATCCTATCTGACATATATTCTGGCATATATTCTGGCATTCTATCTGGCATATATCCTGACATTCCACCTGGCATTCTATCTGGCAGCCTATCTGGCATTCTATCTGACATATTTTCTGACATTTCATCTGACATATATTCTGGCATTCTACCTGTCATTTATTCTGACATATATTCTGGCATTCTATCTGACATATATTCTGGCATATATTCTGGCATTCTATCTGGCATTCTATCTGACATATATTTCGGCATTATATCTGGCATATATGTTGGCATTCTATCTGGCATTATATCTGACATATATTCTGACATTCTATCTGACATTCTATCTGGCAGTCTATCTGGCATTCTATCTGGCATTCTTTCTGGCATTCTTTCTGGCATTCTATCTGGCATTCTATCTGGCATCCTATCTGACATTCTATCTGGCATTCTATCTGGCATTCTTTCTGGCATTCTTTCTTGCATTCTATCTGGCATTCTATCTGGCATCCTATCTGACATTCTATCTGGCATTCTATCTGGCAGTCTATCTGACATTCCTACATGAGGTCCGGCAGGGAACACTTGGCGTGGATACTCGCGGTTGAGGTCCGGCAGGGAACACATGGTCGTGGTTGAGGTCCGGCAGGGAACACTGGGTGGATGGTCGTGGTTGAGGTCCGGCAGGGAACACTGGGCGTGGATGGTCGTGGTTGAGGTCCGGCAGGGAACACTGGGCGTGGATGGTCGTGGTTGAGGTCCGGCAGGGAACACTGGGCGTGGGTGGTCGTGGTTGAGGTCCGGCAGAGAACACTGTGGATCGCGGGTCGCAGTTGAGGCACGAGGACGACGAGGACGACGAGGACGACAAGGACGACAAGGATGACAAGGAGGACGAGGAGGAGGAGGAGAGGAGGACGAGGCAGGAGGAGGCGGAGGAGGAGGAGGAGCAGGAGGAGGAGGAGGAGGAGGCAACTGACATAAAATCTAACAACCCTCACCTGGCAGGTGGGGAACAATGTATCCTGAATCTCGACTTTAAAATTTTGAAGATGTCATGCTTTCGGCCCATCACTTAAAATGGATGCATATGGATGCTTCAGCCGGGGAACATCACGATACAAACGGATCTCAGTATTCTTCCACTGTGCCAAACACTAGCTGCAAGTACAAACACGGAGGACGCAACAGCTACAGACATACTGCCCATAAGGTGATGGTTGTTGATGGAAAAGCAGATTGCTGCACGGTGGGGTAAGTTGTTCAATGGACTGTCCAAGGGAACTTTTGAATCCGAATTTTTACCAGCCAAACGAGTCTGGTTTCTGTCACATGTCACTTTAATCTGAAATGGAATGATGTGGAGACAATCACTCTTTCGTGAACCTGAAATGAATCCCCTTATTCCTCAAACGTCTAAATACACAACCATGATCTAAATGGAGCATAATGGAGCGGCTTTCCAGAACGAAGCTCACATGGAATTTTCTTGGGACGAACATCCGCAAGCGTTGTTTCAACATCTCCATCACTTGGTTCCAAGGAGCTGAACAGATTGATCCTGAATGATCAGCAAGAACAACTCCTTGGTAATTGCCTCAGAGGAAACGCCCTGAAAACATGAAATTCTCATATGCACAGCACGCATAATTTTTGATGGTCGAGCTAAAGTCATATGATGCCATATGCATAGCACAAAGAAAACATGGTGGGATACGAGTATGGCGGGATAACATTTCATTTCACTCCATGCGCTCGGTTTGCCAAACTGTAGTGATTTGGTCAGTACCCCCAAATCGAATGGTGTATCAGCATTTCCCCATTCAACTGGGGTTCTTGGATGTTTTCAGGGTTCTAGCATGGTTCTAGGATTGATCGAGGTTCATTCTGCACTGCCAACGATCCACGAACCATCCGGCAACCATTTTTTAGGGGCATATCCACATCTTTGGAAAGGTCAGTTGTTACCCCACCCATTTTTTTGTGGGTCATACCCTACAATTCTTGACCATCAATCACAAGGGATTATATAACTGGGCCTAGCTCACCATTGCGTTGCCCCACCACTTGAGTATCGCAAAAAATGATAAAAGAATAGGGAGTTCCGAAATGATTTATTGGATTTTGGCTTCCAAACTTATTTTCCCGTGATTTTTTTTCCTCCAACTGATTCCTCCAATTTTTTGGCACCCGACCCGAAAAAGCCCAGGTGGCAATGTGTTCATGGATGTCTTCATCGGTGAAGCTGCTCTCCATGGGTTTGAAGTCGATCCGCGCACCGGAGCGACCCTCGATTGACGCGAGGGTAAAAGCTATGACAGGGATACGGCAGGGATAAACGGACTGGTGAACGGACTGATAAAACATGATAAAACGGACATCTAACCAACAAAGATTAGAAAAATTATTGGGGATTATATCATAATACATGATTACATAATTTATGTATCAATATATATATATATATCATAGTTAATAAAACTACGATACAATGATACATGTATCTCAGAACTTGGGATTCACGTCTGCAGCATGCAGGGGATCGCGTCTGCAGTGAATATACGTCTTGATGTAGCCCCTTTTGAACCATACAAGTATGTTTGTCAATGGGAAATCTTCCTTTGAAGTAGGGGGTTGAAGATTCGAATGTAATATCAAACAACACAAACCATGTTAGATCAGATTATACATTGGTATATTATCATCAGTGTGGGGTACACATCCCCGTTCTTATTCGCGTTATCCCTCATGCATTTTTACTGATACTTGAGTTCAGCCCTTTGACTTTTTCCTGATTGGGGAAGCATTTTCCCAGGCAAGCGATATCGTGATCTCCTCTATTTTGGATGATTTTGGTGGCTAACCTACCCATTAAGAGCTCGTTGGTAATTGGCGCCACCAACTGTTCGACCGCTTTGGATGCTTGTGGTCATATGCTTTAGCCATCAGTTTCCCATCCAAAATTTCCAACAGAATTTCAGAAATTCCAAGTGTTTCACTGCTCTGTTTTCATGGGCGTTGGCGACTCACATGGCCATTTGACGACCCGGAAGCGAAGCTGGTGACTCACCTGGTTTCCCCTCCCAAACATCAGACACATCCTGCCGCGACACGGGTTCGTCCATATCCGAGAACATGCGGTAGGCCGCAGCGAACTTTTTCAGAAGTTCACCTCGGTGAAGGAGGCGAGTGGGAGCTGAGGAAAGGGGGGCTGGTTAAACTTGGCGAGATACGAGAAAAACCATGGCCAAAGTGAGATAATGATATAGCCATGTTGATAGAAATTCGAATGGTTGACCATCTTGATATATCTTGATAACCATTGATAATTATTGAGAACCACTGTGAACCCATATTCATTTAAAATCATCAAAGCGAGAACAGTGATCGAATGCCGCTTGGGATGGTCACTCTGTCATGAGATACTTACGGTGAACCATATGACCATGCAAAAATTGCACATTTACTTACATGATTAGAATATGTGGAATGGTTTATATACTGTATCTATATATTAGTAAAACTTATCACCATGATTTATATACTGTATCTATTTAGAATATTTTAGAATGGTGATTCTCCGCAGCTGCTGAGCGTTAGGTTACCTTAAAGGGATCCTTAAAGGGTACATAAAATTCCACGAGCCATGGTTCGTAAGTTGCCGAAATTTTCATAAGGGACAGGGGAGGATATGTGGTGGTTCCCACACCAGACTGACGTCAATGTATAGCCATGATTGCTGCAATTTTTTGAAGAAGTGCAGTACCATACTATATATATATATATTTACTATCATATACTATCATATACTGTACTTGCATAGGATGTACAGGAATATATATATATTGTTATATTATAAATGGAAATTTGACCAATACAGAATTATGGATACAAAAACAACCAAACAAACATATTGGGAGTTAGGATAATTCAAGGCAAATGGTGGCGAATTCGGCATCAAGGCTGGTCAATGCGTCCAAGCTAGTGCGTGGTCACCGTCTATCATCTCCTTTTACTGGTCGGTTGAGGCCCAAATTCTTAGTGTATGTACCACAACAATACCCTATGAAATATCACTAAGGCCAATGAACATAACTTGACCCATATCGTGTACTTGCGATAGTTCACAAACCTGAAAGTACAATTTTCGGGCTGGTTCCTCCCCAAATTTCAAATCTTAGCCTGATTTCTACTGTTTCTGCTGCATCTTGTCATTTCTTGTCTTTCCTCGAAAATGACTCATTTTACCCCAACTAGCAGCACTGTGGATCTTCTGGGCTTGTTCCTCGTTTTTTTTTCACTTTTGCCCTCCCCAAAGTGCGGCCAAAACCACGTGTGGTGCGCGCAATTCGGATGGATTCGCGACTGTGCTGCTCCGCAGTCACCGCTTCGCTCTCCTGCAAATATATTTATAATTCTATAATTATGATGATGATTATTGTACAATTTATATCAATTTATTATATAGTTGTATCAGTCATATCCCCATTAAAAAATGTAATTGACTATGTCATGGACTATCTATATCTACATCCCTGGTGATTCTGGGAGAGAATGCGGTATGCATAGATACACTGTTTATGGATGATCTGAAAACTAGGACCGGGTTACCACCGATGCAGTATGATTAATTATCAGGATCTCTATCCAACGTCGAAGCAGCTCATATATGAGCTCATAGTGAAGCGAAACGCCTGGGTGATTAACATATACCAAGCCCAACATATGGATAACAAACCAACATGTCCATAACAAACCATATTCTTACAATCTGAATTACCCAACCAGGCCCAGATGAGCCATGCTGGAAACCTTGATAGATTCTTAGGTCGTAAGAACATGCTTACGCACATGCTTGCGCATCCTTACGCTATTGGGGGTTTCTCTTACGCGGGGATCTGGGCTTTTTATGGGCTTACGCAAGGCTTACGCGAAAGTAAGTCACCACAAAATCATCTTTTTTCGTGAAACGTTCCTTACGCGGCCTTTTTTTGCAACAGAGTATGTCAGTGCGTCATTCATCATTTGTCGAATCCGAAGATGAAGATGTTGAAGAAGAGGATGTAGAGGACGAGCCGGAACCGTCAGCTTTCAATGCTGCCTGTTGCCGTCGACGCTTTCGAGCCTGCTTGCTGAGAGTTCGGGCCTTGGCTGATAGTTTTTCTTCCAGTGATCTTTTTGGCGCTGGCATGGCATGGGATTTGAAAGACTTCTGGGCTGTGTATTTCCGTGTGAGTTCATTGACATCACCGGCTTGGGGGCCCAGTTCTTCCCAGGATCGCGGTTTGTCATAGTAACCTCGCCGCCATTGTTCTTCATCTTCGGATATTGTTTCACCAATTGACCAAGGTCCCAGGGATTGGTTGGAGACCAAGTCGCTGAAAACATTGTTTCGGATGGTGATTCCGGACGGGGCCAGCGAATTGGGTTCTGCCGAAAGGCTATAGGTCCTTGAGATTTTCAAAGTTGAACAGTTGAAGAACAATCGGCGGGATGGTCTAGACTGGCCAGGGTCGAAGGAATGCACAAGAAAAGCTGCACCTGACGGATCCATCTGCGCCATGGCGGTGCTTCCCGAGCGATATGCCTGAACAAGGTCCTTGATGCCATGAATGGGTTTTTCTTGAAGGTACCGTTGGAGCCACTCATTGGTCCAGCCAAAGAGGCGATCACAGGCTCCTTTCCCATGCTGTTCTCCAAGATACATCACGTGAACCTTCACTTTCAAAGTGGTCACCAAAGTAACTAGGAAGTGGGCAGCACTTTCATATGAACGGAAATGAGGGCCACAATCTGAAACCAACCAGAGTTTGCGAAGAGCAGGGAAATTGACGCGCGGATGGTCACGCACAAGGACTAAAACCTGGTTCAGGAGCATGTTGGCAATTTGCGCGTCGTGGTCTAAAACCTCCGACACAAGCAAGAGGTACAACTCAACATGCCCGCCTGCTTTGGCAGGCGCAAGGACGCTGGCCCCATAAACAGTGAGTGACAGCTTGTTCTGGGCATGCCACTCTTCGGAAGTCTCTTCACGGCCTGGTGGATTTGTTTGGGCAGTTGGCGCGGGGGGGACTGCGGATGGAACATTTATTTGGGACAAGGGGCGGGGAAGCTCTGAACATTTCTAATAAGGCAAGTTGCTGATGGGATACCTTACATTCTCTTTGAAATCAAACTGGACCATGAGTTCGTCAGCGCCCAGGCTTCCACCTCGGAGCTGCAGCAAAACATTCTCCTGGCGCCTGCTAGAGATTTGATGCCACCGGTAGGCTTCAAGCAGTTCAACATGAGCCTTCAAGGAATGGATGAAGTAGGCCTCTGTTTGGTGGAGGGCTAGACGGTCCCGTTGAGGCATTTCCCGGCGTGAAGCGTTTTCTCGGGCATTGCGGTTCTCATTGTCAATGTACGTGAGGAACAAGTTGATGAAAGGGAACTTATCCGTGTCTTCCATAATGGTCTTGGTGGATTCCGCGGCATAGAATTTCTGGAAATAGTTTGGGAAAATGGTGCAGATGTCGCGCTTAGCATTTTCAGTTTCGCGCAGGGCTTGGGGGATCAGACTGCGTTCCAAATGACGACAATGTTCACCTTACATGCGCGCATCGCTCCTGCATACACAACGCAATTAACACAAAAAAAGGCTTCAAAAAAGTGAGCTTTGGGTTAATCACCACTTGGTGCAATGAGTCGGAACATTCTTGTCTTCGAGTCTGTTGGGGGGTAAAATCAAAACAAGATACTTGAATCAACCCAGGTTCAAAGGCAACAAAAACGAAGAAAACAGCAAACAATGAAGCAAAGACAGAAAAAAATGCTAAGGAGGCCAAACTACAAATGTCAGTTAAGCGTCGCGGGTTCCTGACATGCGGGAAATGGATCCTCATGATGCGTCGGAAAGTATCTTTGCCCATAAGTTGTCGGAGCTGAGGCTCGGCCAGAAATATGGTGTTCCGTTTTTTTGTCAGATGTTGCGCTAATACCATGCGGCGGTTTTTTCCATGACCAACTACTGCAACGCGCTCGCTCTCTTTAAGGTATTTTGGGAGAATGTCTTTGACCATGTCTATACATTTCTTGCTGTGGACTTTGGATGGCCGACCTCCAACATTGTGCGCGGCACTACGCGAGGAAGAAGATTGACAAGGCACCTGCTGTGCTTGAGCTGAAGTGTATGCTCGGACACTGATGTCGTAACCCCATTGTCTCACTCTTTCGTGTGTCAGTGGTAAAGTGCAGACAGCAGCGTCCAACTGAGCTACTGAGATCCTGGGTGTGTTCAGTTGTTGATTGCCAAGACCCTCCAAGACTGCAGATCGAACTCGGCCCAATGCTCCAAGCAGCTGGGCACACATCTGGTTATCCAAGGCCAGGCCAGGTAAAAACGATTGACATTTGCGGAACGCCTTCTCAATCAAGAGGTTCGCATCATCTAGGGAAAGGCAGTGTGCCTGGAAGATGGACACCACTTGCGCGAGGATGCGGCTGCGTTGTTTCCATTGCAATTGCGAAAAAGGGCGGCGTTTCGGGGCCATGGGGCAACTGTTCAGATAAAGCAGATGGGCCTTACGCGTTCCTTACGCATACCTTACGCGTTCCTTACGCGAAAAAAACACATTCTTTTTCCAAAATTGAGAGCCACCAATTAAGGTACATGGAAAAACATGCATATATCATATATCTGTATATATCTGTACATTAATTATCTGTTGTAAGCTTGTGTGTGCAATTCCAGTTGTTTCTTTTTTACAGCAGGTTTCACTTCAGGTGCTGTTGTGCTATGCAAGCTTGTGGAGCAATAGCGGCAAACATTTCAGCTGCACTGCACCCAGGTGAAAACAAAAAAATAAAACGAAAACTCCTGCAGGTATGGCACATAATGGCGCATGTTGGGCCGGGACATATTGCTTATTGTCCCGGCTCCGAACCTCACACTAACAACTCCAATGCATGGAATTGTTCTTCTAGAGCTAACCTATCCAATCAAATAAAGGCATTAGGCGGATTTTGGGAACCCACCATGATCCGAGCAGCCAGCTGTAAAACCGGCATTTGTTGCGGAAACTGCGGGATGGATATGAGGCTGATACAAAAATATGTCTGTATCTATCTGTCTATCTAAATAACTTTACATAGCATATGTATGTATCATACAAATATCAGGATTACTGGCCTTCCATGGTGCTCAGGTTGTGCACTGCAAGCCCTCACAATTAAATCGCATGGGTCCTAAAACATGTAACGAAAAATAGGAGCCTTACTATTCTTTGTGGGTGATTGGGGTTCTTGGATATACATCCTCCTTTAAGTGGCTTGTAAGATTTCGGCCAGGCCCCTTGTGTTGCCCGGAGATTTAGAGACGTTCCCGGCCAGTTGATCTCGATCTTGATGATGATGATGCTGATGATGATGATGATGATGCAAGTGCGGCCTAAATATATGTGTGTGTAGATGTAGTAAATATAAATGGAAAAGCCTAGGCGTGGTAGATGTATTAATATATGTGTGTGTATACGTAGTCGTCTCTCGGAAATATCCAATCCATGGCTAGGCAAGTGCTGCCTTTTTGGTGTTTCTGACCTGTTTCTGACCTGTTTCTGACCTTTCCCGGAGTCTTCTTCAACTTCAAACAAATCAGGACGGGCAGTCAAACTAGGAACAATTTTAGTGATCGTCTAAGTCATATCATTTAGATAGAACCGAAATACTAGTACTAGTGCTAATAGTAGTAGTAGTAGTAGTAGTAGCAGTAGTAGTAGTAGTAGTGGTAGTAGTAGTCGTAGTCGTAGTCGTAGTCGTAGTTGTAGTAGTAGTAGTAGTAGTGGTAGTAGTAGTAGTAGTAGTGGTGGTAGTACTAGAAGTAATAGTAGTAATAGTAGTACTAGTAGTACCTCAATGCTTCTGACCTGTTTCTGACCTTTCCCGGAGTCTTCTTCAACTTCAAAAAAATCAGCACGGGCAGTCAAACTATGAACAGTTTTACTATAATAGTAACAAGAGTACTAGTATTAGTAGTACTAGTACTACTAATACTAGTACTAGCATTAGCATTACCAGTAGTAGTATAGCAATAGCAATAGCAGTAGCAGTAGCAGTAATAGTAGTAGTAGGAGGAGAAGGAGTAGTAGTCGTAGTAATAATAATAGTAGTAGTAGTAGAAGTAGTAATAGTAATAGTAGAAGTAGCAATGATAAGAGCTGAGGTGGATCGATGGATGGATGGATGGATGCTAGGCAAGTGCTGCCTTTTTGGTGTTTCTGACCTGTTTCTGACCTTTCCCGGAGTCTTCTTCAACTTCAAAAAAATCAGCACGGGCAGCACGACTAGGAACAATTTTACTATAATAGTAACAAGAGTCCTAGTATTAGTAGTACTAGTACTACTAATACTAGTACTAGCATTAGCATTACCAGTAGTAGTGTAGCAATAGCAATAGCAGTAGCAGTAGCAGTAATAGTAGTAGTAGTAATAGAAGAAGGAGTAGTAGTCGTAGTAGTAGCAATAATAGTAGTAGTAGTAGTAGTAGTAGAAGTAGTCATAGTAGTAATAGTAATAGTAGAAGTAGCAATGATAAGAGCTGAGGTGGATGGATGGATGGATGGCTAGGCAAGTGCTGCCTTTTTGGTGTTTCTGACCTGTTTCTGACCTGTTTCTGACCTGTTTCTGACCTGTTTCTGACCTGTTTCTGACCTTTCCCGGAGTCTTCTTCAACTTCAAACAAATCAGCACGGGCAGTCCAACTAGGAACAATTTTAGTGATCGTCAAAGTAATATCATTTAGATAGAACCGAAATACTAGTACTACTGCTAGTAGTAGTAGTAGTAGTAGTCGTCGTAGTAGTAGTAGTAGCAGGAGGAGTAGTAGTAGTAGTAGTAGTAGTAGTCGTTGTAGTAGTAGTAGTAGTAGTAGTACGAGTAGTAGGAATAGGAGTAGGAGGAGTAGTAGTAGTAGTAGTAGTAATGTAGTAGTCGTAGTAGTCGTAGTAGTCGTAGTAGTAGTAGTAGTACTAGTACTAGTACTAGTACTAGTAGTAGTAGTAGTAGTAGTAGTACTAGTAGTAGTAGTAGTAGTACTAGTAGTAGTACTAGTAGTAGTAGTGGTGGTAGTACTAGAAGTAATAGTAGTAATAGTAGTACTAGTAGTACTAGTAGAAGTAAAAGTAGTACTAGTAGTAGTACTAGTAGAAGTAATAGCACTAGTAGAAGTAATAGTACTAGTAGAAGTAGTAGTGCTAGTAGTGCTAGTAGTGCTAGTAGTACTAGTAGTACTAGTAGTACTAGTAGTACTAGTAGTACTAGTAGTACTAGTAGTACTAGTAGTACTAGTAGTACTAGTAGTACTAGTACTACTAGTAGTACTAGTAGAAGTAAAAGTAGTAGTACTAGTAGTACTTGTAGAAGTAATAGTACTAGTAGAAGTAATACTACTAGTAGAAGTAGTAGTGCTAGTAGTGCTAGTAGTACTAGTCGTACTAGTAGTACTAGTAGTACTAGTAGTACTACTAGTACTAGTAGTACTAGCAGTACTAGTAGTACTAGTAGTATTAGTAGTACTAGTAGTACTAGTAGTACCAGTAGTACTAGTAGTACTAGTAGTACTAGCAGTACTAGTAGTACTACTAGTACTAGTAGTACTAGTAGTATTAGTAGAAGCACTAGTACTAGTAGTACTAGTAGTACTAGTTGTACTAGTAGTACTAGTAGTACTAGTAGTACTAGTAGTACTAAACTCGTACTAAACTGGTGAATAACGTCATTCAGGCTGGGGCCCGCCTTGTACGATAGACTAAAAAAACCAAAAAAAACAATTTCGACCTGCTGAAGACTAAAACCCTAACCGCCCTTTTTGTGCGCAACCCATATATATAATATATATATATATTCATGTCATTGCTTTCGTGGCAGCAAGGAACATTTCTCAACCCGAACAAATTGGAACCGTGGAACCGGAAAAACCGGTTTCTATAGGAACCGAGCCTTTTAGGAACCGAACCGAGTTCCTGTAGAACCGAACCGAACCGTGGCCACACTGGTTTTGCCTAGTCTGCAATATCTGGAGCTCGGTTTCCCTTCCATTTGACTGTCATCAACGTGACCAAGCATATTGACCCTCATGTTTCTTTCATTCTTTAGCCAAAAGGTGCTTTTCAAGCATGCCTTACGCAGGCTTACGCACAACATTCAAAGCCAAAAACCTTGCGCAGCTCTTACGCCACTGTAGTTTTGGCTTACGCGAAGCCACCTTATGACCGTCCCCTTACTCACCAATACATAAAGAGTTTATAGCGCAGCTCAGATGATAATTCTTCCGTTGGGATTAATTGCGACCTGGCCAAACGACCAACTTATTCATCCTCAGAAGTGCCCAACTTATTTCATAAATTGATAGCTTTGTTGGCCATTTCAAGCCCTGTCTAGACAACACATTCATGGAATATGGCAGGTTATGACAGGTTGTACAGCTAAATCTATTTATATTACCCTCTGGTAAACGTTTACATAACTATGGAAAATCAACTATTTCAATGGCCATTTTCAATAGCTATGTTAGTTTACCAGAGGGTATACACTTCTGCATAAAGGTGGAGGATAGATCAGAAACGCGTTCTGTCCCCTCTTGCTGAGTCCAATCCAGCTTGAAAACTCCCTGAAATCTGACATTGAACTTGGAACCCACAAGAATATATCGAAAAAACAACAGCTCGGGAGAGATTTTTTCAACTATAACAAATCCAAAAGTCGAAAGTATAGCTGGACACCTGGAAAAATAATGGGGGAAACATCATCTAGTTCACATCCTGGAACAACTTTTCATAAGTTTTGTATCTTATTGAGGGCGCCAAAAAAATTCTCCAAAAACTGCCAGGGCCAGGTTTCTGGCGCAATCCTTGGCCGCCCGCATGGTGATGTCTACATAGACCTTGGGCCAGGTGAATTGGGTGGTCATCGAACTAACTCGTAGCCTGCAGACTTTTTTTGTGGGTTTCCATAAATGGGTACCCCAAATGGATAGTTTATAATGATTTATAATGGACAATCCATCTATAAATAGATGGGAACTGGGGGTACCCCCACTTTAGGAAACCTCCATATGAATATCATTGAATATCAGTGCGGTATCATGGTGGTAGAGAAGGATGGGAAAAGAATGGACAAACAATATGTTCTTAAAGCCCATATTTGAGGACATTGATGATCAATCATGATCAATCAATATGGCAATACTGCCAAATATGTTGCTTAAGATTTTCTGCCAGCACCCCAAACATCAAATTCTTCATGTCCGTTGAGACTACTTCAATTAAACTGCATGAACCCAGAAATTGATCTGCAGTTCCCTGCACATGGCCAGGAATGCAATTTCGGAAAACCATCTTCCAAATTCATCCGAAATTCTTTGTCAACATTTAAGATCCAGGGGATCATCAAACTTGGGTCGATCAAAATAGCCGTCCAAGATGCCGCCAAGATGACATTGTAGATGCCTGCGCAACGACTAAATCCCTGTCAGAGAAAATGGTCATGGTATGCCACGGCGGATCAGTGGAATGACGACAGGTTTTGCATGCCTTCCAGTGCTGACAATAATATTTTGCTGGTCTCATTCTGATACATTGCTGGTGATACAAGTATGTACCAGTTAACCAGTTATGTACCAGTTATGTACCAGTAATTATTTGGTGTACAGTAATCCTTTTCCAACTAATCAATACATACTCATGTTTGTAGGGATGGCTAGTCCCTGGTCGTCGACGTTTTTTCCGTCACGAGCCCGACCGCGGGGACCCCGCCTAGGGAAACAAAAATGTAGCTGGCAGTATAGCACATCACAAAGGCAGTGCCATGACTATGTGCCAGAACCGCAGCAATCGGCTGTCCTGTGTGCGAATTGGAGGGATCGCGATGGTTTTTGTTTTCCATCACCTGCCTGAAATAACAACATCATCTGGGGTGCTAACTGCGGTGAATGAAGGAGCAAACGTGATGTTCGAACCCTCTGAAAGGGAACATGTATACAACCATAGTACATACCTTATGTATATATATATATATATTATAATTTTATAACTATATATAATATAACTGTATTAGATGCATGTATAATGACGTATAATTTCCGTATAAGTGTGATATAAACCAAAGAAAAAGAACTCGCCAGCGCCTGCTGCCCTGAATTCACACAACTGATCACGAATGTGATGGGGAAACCCCCGTCCTGACTCTGCAAAGCACTCACCAGAGAAACATCTAAACGCAGTGAACATGGACCTGAGATGCCAGAAACGAAAGGGCTTGACATGGCTTGACCACTGGCTTGACAACAGGTATTTATTGGTCAAGTTTTTTGGTACCCTCTGGTAATTTAACATAGCTATTGAAAATGGCCATAAAATAGTTGATTTTCCCATTAAAAATGGTGGATCTTTCCATAGTTATATATGTTAAATTACCAGAGGGTAACTGGGCCAAGAAGTGACTCCCAAGATCCATGACTCAAGGATTCGCCGGAGCAAGACTTGGATGATTTGGACGTCTTCAGTTCAAGATTATAATGAACCCCCACGGTCAAGCTTAGATACCCTGCACAAGATCGTTGGATATTGTTGGTATGTATGTAATTATAAGGTATCCCCATCAACATGACAAAACATCAACAATACCATGCAGTTGGTATTCTCAGAGTTTTAACTGTTAAGTTATGTTAATTTCCATGATACATCTTCATGTATAATTCCCACCATATTGATTAGGGCTAAATACCCAAGACTGGAATGAATATCCATGAATATCCACTATTCATTGCTTAAATCCCTATTTCTGGTTTCTATCCCTATGACCCTATGAAATCACCCCAAAATGATGATCAACTCCCACCCTCCACGATGATTTCCCCCAAGTTCTGATTCACTTCCCATCCTCCCCAACGTCCGAAATCGCTCCTCCCATCCTCCAGAATCAGTTTTAATATACAGGATTTTAATATATGGAGGTACATGTATTACATATATCCGATATATCTCATTCGTTTTGTTTAAGGGTCTTTAAGAACTTGGAGGTCTTCCGGCCGTGGTACGCGGGGATGTTCTCGAAATGCGCTGCCAGCCCCAACTCTTTCACCAACTGATCGCGGCCGATGGTCATTGTGGCGAAGCCCGCGATCACCTGGGATCCGATGGGACTGGGGAGACTGGGGGGATTTCTTTGAGGGAGAGCCAAGTAGGAAGATATGGGGAAAATTGGATGAATGGGAAATTGATCATGAACATATGTTTGAAGAAGTTTGGACATACTCATGCTGTGAATATAATGATAGACAGCTGAAATTTAGCTGGGAAGCATAGAACATACTCGAAAATCGTTTATATGCTACAAGTTGTGCTTTCTTTTTCCATCAATCAATGGATAGAAGTTGGTCTATATACCCATCTACCATCATCTGCCTAGGCATTATCCACCAAAAAAACATAAACCACGGTAAACCTAATTCATACTTGCCTATCGTTTGGGGGCTCCACAAACATTGCTGATCACCAGCAAAAAACTGCACGCAAAACCTATGGGAACATCATGGATTATGCATAGGTTCCATGCTGGCAGAGTTTTGACAGGACCGGTGACTTTGCATTGGATGGTACAGTGGCATATTGGCATATAATTTTAAAGATACAATTTCCATGATTTGTTTTATGTGTTTGTAATAAAAACAGTTAGGATATTCAGGCTGTGGAACCCAGACTTTGGATGATCACCAATCCAACTCCGAAGGCGAGTTTTTCCAGATTCATTTTCAAAAGTGTCTTTTTATCACACGATTTTGGCCCTGGTCCAGTAGAAAAATGGCAAGAACCCATCATTTGATTCCAGCTAATTGATCCTGGAAAAATCCGGATGTCTACCAGGTAGTTTTTTCTCTACATGTATCTATATACATGATTTTAAAAGTTGATGTTAAAGCTGAGAACCTACAGTACCAGTGCTACTCTGACCGTTTGGCTCTTGAGCTTGCACATGCTGGGCTCACTGAGTCCATTCACGTTCTGGCACTGCACGTATCAGCTGGAAAGAGTAGCGGTGAAATTTTCTAGTGGATGCTTTTATCCCATTCACGTGAACTTTAAGATAAATAAAGCACAGTTCCGTCTGAAGTCTGAGACCAGTCGTTTTTCACCAACTTTTTCAACAACCTCCCATCCGAAAGCATCATCTCGGGTGAGGTCAGAGGGGTCTTTACAATTCACCCAGAAAAAGTTACAGTAAAGCTTCCAAGTTTTTCACAGTTTTTCGCACCCAACCCTGATCACAACTTCGCCACAACCCACTCCCAGGCGGATTTCAGGGGGCGTAAAGCACTGCGAAGAGCAAAGCGAAGGACAGGAAGAGCGTTCCTGGGGATGATGGGTGTTATGTGCAACTTGGAGATCATTTGGATCATTTGGGACCATTACAATATTCTTATGTTCAAGGAATGGAACATGAAACATCTGTGATTCTGACATCACCAATTCTGACAAATAGCTGAGCAAAAAGCACTTCCTTGAAGTGGTAGAGAACCTGCTAACCCTATCACTGTGGGACGAACCCCATGCCCAAAAAGGGGACTTGCACCAGCCTTTTGCTTACCCTCCGGTGTCATCAAACGTGGCATGCTGGAAAACCCACCATTTAGTTCGATGTTTTTCCAAACTATAAATAAACCTTGATTTTCCAGCCAGCCACGTTTGATGACACTGGAGGGTAGCCATTTTCGTGGGGGTCTCTTTCGTAAGCAATGAAGCCCAAAGGAGCATTGCATCAGATGATTTCCTACGGCACTCCGGGCTGGGTGCAACCTCCAAAATGGGTCCAAAATGGCACGTGATTCACCTTGGGGGTGCAGTTAGGGTTGCAATAAACTCCATGAGTTAGGACTATATATATATATATATAAATGTATATACTGTGTATATATATATATACATACACTGAGTATGTATGTATTATATATACATATTATATTTATAACCCCTATAACATGATGACACTTGGTTCACTGGAATTGCCCCCCATTGTCCAAGTTCAGAGGGGTATCTGAGTTTCTAAGAGGTTTGTGGTTGGACTTGGCCCCTATATGATCCCTGAAGTAGAGCATGTTCCAACTCAAGCCCTGTACAATCCCAACAACCGGTCATCACAGTCCGGCTATTTTCCTAACATCCCCATGTTTTGCTGCAATATTTTGATTTTGGTCGCTTTAATCCCCCGTCCTTGTGTTCAATCAAATCTTCATCTTACTTGGTTGATGCCCTAGTTGGTTTCTAGTTGTCGACAGACCAGATATCATATCTATGATGCGCCCTGTGCTAATGCACTGGAAATCCCAAACATCCACTGACCGCGTATTTTCCGGTAAGAACAAGGATTTCCCAGCCAGCCATGTTAGATTCCAGATGCTGTGGGTTCAATATCCAGATGTAGAGCGTGACCAAAACAAAAAATCTACTCTTCTCTGCAGAAAACATTAGGAATGACCCCTGGCAACTTGGATCCCTACCGTTCCCTACCTGTGCCATGTAGAATGTTTTGGACCCATGAGCCTCCGCTCCCTTCGCGGATCGCTCCGTGCAGCTTCCTCTTCTGGGACAACCCTTGACTTCAAGGCACGTCAGTATGGCAATCGTGGATCACCATTTTCGACCCCTGTGATTTTGCGCACTGATTCGAAATTCGTACTGAATTATGTACTGAAAAAAACAGACACCAAATTCTGAGATCTTCAAATTGCGAAAAAAACCATCCCCCTGTGAATTAAGGGCAAATAGGTTGTGCAACCATTTAGTAGTGGAAATCCACTGGGGGATAAACAAAAACATGTTACCCTCTGGTAATTTAACATAGCAATGGAAAATCACCATTTTTAGTGGGAAAACTCACTATAAATGGCCATTTTCCGTAGCTATGTAACAAATTACCAGAGGGTAACCCCAACTTCTGACCACAAAAGCCCAGAGATTTCACGGCCAAAATCACCGCTCCAAGCGTCGAAAACCGCCCACTAAGCCTTTCACCATAAGCCGCAGCTCCTGGCCCGGGGTGAATTACCGACTGATTGTGTTGGATCAACGACGAAGTAAACCAAACTGGTCATTTGATATATATAATATATATATATATATTTATTTATTTATTTATTATATCTATATATATATATATTATAAATTTATATAATACTATACAAGTGTGTTTTTAAGGGACTAGACTAAGCCATTATCTAGCTATATATTGCAGGTTATAGAATCTACAGTGGGATATTGGTTGAATAACTGGTTATCCCATGAATGGATAGCCCTCTCTTATTCCATAAAAAATCCTGGTTGGTTAAGAACGGGATTCCCCGTTCTTGGATTACTATCATCCCCAATATATTGGGTAGTATAATCCCCGAACTAATCATCAATCAACCATCATTTATCACAAAAAAAACGCATTTTCATGGTCAAAATCCCATTGAAATTACTATAATCATCAACCAACAGGATGTCCTTCATGTACTTCACTCGGAAGACCTTCACCACTCGCACCAGGCGCACCAGGCGACAGAAGCGGAGTAAGGAGGCGCCGAACATGTCCTCAGCGCAGTTTAAAACCGTTAGATAAGGGGAAGAAAAACATAGGTTTGACATGGGTTTGACCATTTTTCTTTGAAGAAAAGACCTGAAAGATAGAGAAAGCAAAGAGAATGAGATGAGAACACTTGAGATCGAGGATTTTCCCGCAGCAGTCTCATTCCGATGGAATGACACCCGGAACCGGTTTTGGCAGTTTTTTTCTGCCATAGAAGCAGTAGATCAGAATCTGTCATCTGAATATATCAAATATATCGGTGAGATTCTGTGAGGATCTCTCCAGATTCTAGAATATAACCAGTTAACAGGATATACTAAGCCACATAAATGCTCACTGCTCCTTATTATTACCCTTCAATGCCCCTTAGGGCCCAAAGGACCTAAAGCCTTGCAAGACACCCAAACAACATGCAATGAGGTGGCAAATGAGGTGTAAGTAACCGCAGTTGAAATGACGGATCTTCACATGCCGGCTTTGTCGATTTTTGTTTGGCATCACCACTATTCATCAGATCATCTTGGTCTATTTACTCTGTTCTAAATTAGGATTTCAAAACAAGCACTCCTTCATTCAGCAAATTAAAGTTTTGTGTGCTAGTAGGATGGTTCTTGAACTATATCTAAGTATGGGCATGGGATAGTATGGGCCAAAATTCGGTAATGCGGGTACAGCAATAATAAACCATCCGCCAAATCTCCATAAATAGGTGGTATAAACCGATAAACCATTCCCAAATGGATGGTTTATTATTGTTTTACCCACATTACACCAAAATGGGACGGCTTACTACACATGTTTCAAAATCTGTATTCCCCTGGATCTTAACTTTGACCCATGTGCCCACGCATAATATACCCAGTGCCCAGTACATAACATCACACTCTATAGTATACAACATGAATCACAATCATATCTGTATATATATATTCACATATATAATCATATATATATATATTCACATATATAATCATATATATATATATATATATATATTCACATATATAATCATATATATATATTTATAAATATAATCACATATATATATATATATGTATATATATAATATTGTATAATCATACATGTCTATATTATTATACGTTTCAACTATAACATCAATTTCTGTGGGTTCTTTGTGGGTTCTTTTTTTGGGAGCAAACATCTTCGTCGTCGTCCCGTCGTCACCCAGTGGCGGATCGGGACTGCACAGCGATCTCCACCACGATATCAGTAAGACCAGTGAGAAGAAGAAACAGATCCTTTGCGGTTCTTGCTGGCTCATCCCACTGAGGTTATAGTAGGTGAATAGTAGGTGAATAGTAGGTGAATAGTACAACCATCTTAAAATCGTAGGTTTTTTTTATCCCTGGAGATCCCTTAGTTTTCACTGGGAGCCGCCAGGATCCAACGGATCAGGGCGAGATGGTGGAAAACTCCAGCTTTTTGAAGAGGAATAGTCATGTGATATATAATATATATATATATATATACCCTCTGGTAATTTAACATAGCTATTGAAAATGACCATAGAAATAGTGGATTTACCCAGCTATAAATGGTGGATCTTTCCATAGTTATGTGACAGTTTACCAGAGGGTATATATTTTTAGTTGGGGTTTTAAGATGGTTATACAAAGAACCAAAGAATTATATAGGGTTTTACAGCAACCCATGATAATTAGCAGCTGGTTAGCAACTATGGTCAGAAATCATGGTTGGTTCACCCATTTACATGTGGGACAACCCCGCAAGAAGGGGGTTGATCCTCCCAGTGCTGATAGTGCTGGCGCAGGATCTGGGTGGATATGTGATATTAGTGAGACTGGCTGACATTTCCCCTAGAAATTGGACTATTGAAGACTAAATCGCCCATGAAATATCTGTTTCAAATCATCTCCACATCACATCTTCTTAGCACACAATCCAGTAATTGATCTCGACAGATGACGAGATTGGCTCACTATTGCTGGCCGCAAAAACTGGAGCGGCACCCTATTGTAATTTAACAGTTTGCTATGGAACATCAACATTGAAAAGATGGGCAAATAATATTAAATCGTTAAATACAGGATGGTTCCAAAACGGTTCAGGAATCTAAACCGCTGCACATAAGGAACCGAACCGGTCCGGAATCGGAAAAAATAGAATCGTTTGGAAGTTTGGAATCGAATCGGATTGAATCGACCAGGATTTTAAGGAACCGGAACACAACAATAATTAAAAATCGAATCAAACATGAATGGGTAGGTTGCTTGAACCGAATCGCCCCGAATCGATTTTCAAGGGGAACCGAATCGACGGGAATCGAGGCCATGCATACCCGGGATCATATATATATATATATATCTCTTGGATGTTTGTATTGTATTGAGCCACGCAAGTGCTTGAGATAATTATTGTACAAGCCCGCCACCCGCCAGTATCCGTCACGGCCCTTTTCCGTCTCTACATCAGCGGATCACTCCATAGCCTGGATCTTCGTCCTGGCGCGGCCAAGACAAAGTAACGGTTAAATTACATGACCTGGGATGTGAAGACAATTCAAAAATACGAACGATGAGGAATTCAATTTCAATCTATTGGGAAATGAAAACTATTTTGCTACAACAAGAAGGTGGGATTTGAACAACAATGTCCACAAGGCGAATTGAACTATTATATGACTATGAAGGTACGGACGATTGGCTATGAACCCTGGAACTCCAAGGGCAAACATGATTTCCATCTCTGTATGTATCTTGCCCCCACCAAGTCACATTTGAAGATTTTAACAGGTTTCAGACTA